TCTGCGATGCTAAGAACGTTATCCTCCAGGCCGCCCAGGCTGAGGCGGACGGTGCGGACCCTGCCGCGGGGGGCGGCGCAGCGGCGCGTGCGTTGGCCAAGGCTCACGCCGCGGGCAAGGGCAAAGGCCGCGGCGGGCGGGCAGTAGGCCTGGCTCACATGCTGGCCTCCCTCGACGACGCCTTGAGCGATCGCGCGCACGCCGCGCGGAGCGAGATCCGCGCGGGCTCGCAGCTCACGGACGGCTCCGCGTGCCCCCCGACTCACCGCTCGGGGGTCTCCGAGCCGCAGGCGGCCAGGCCCACGTCGGAGGCGCTCGCTGTGGCCGAGGATGTCGCATCGCGTGCTGCAGCGAACCTCGGGGAGATCAGGGAGGCGCGCAGCGCCATCCAGCGGGCTGTCGTCGCTGACCCTCTGCACGACCCTGCTGCGAGGGCTCGTGCCCGCCAGGACCTGGCGACGGGGATGGCTGAGCGCATCCACATGCGCCGCCTCACCGCCGCAGCGCAGGCTGAGAGCCGATGGGGGGCCTCGGACAGCTCCGCACGAGCTGGCTCGGCGGTTCAATTCGACGCTGAGGGGGCTTTCCCACCGAGGCGAGGTTCAGGCTCGCGCCGAGCGCGAAGCCCTTGCGGCGCGGGCGCCAGATGGGATCCCCTCCCGCGGGGGCCCGTCTCTGGACCAGCACGAAGCGGTCTTTGCCGCCGACCCTCGGGCCCACGCCCGCGCCGACCAGGAGGCGCCTCCTACCTTCTCCCGTCGCGACGCACGTGCTGTGCGAGAGCGGCTTGGCCCTCGCCCCGAAGCTTCCGAGGCGCACGCCTCTCGGTCGCGCCACCGCAGGGACGACGCTGCTCGGCCGAATGGCGGTCGCGAGCAGCGCCGTCGGGCGGCCTCCGCCGCCCACCGCGGGGCCGTTCTTCCTTTGGAAGGCCCCGCGGGTCCGCCTACTCGGCCTGGGCGTACCGCCAGGCGAGCAGCCAACCGGAGGCTGTTCGCTGCCCGCCCAGAGGCGTCGGACCGCCCCCGGCGCAGCCGCTCGCGCTCGGCGCACAGAGGGCTGAGCGACGTCGAGGGGCCCCCAACCTCGCCTGGCGGACCGCTTCGCCGCTCAGAGTCCCCCAACCCGTACGGCACCGATACGGAGGTGTCGGGGGAGCGCGACCCGCGCGACCCGAAGCCACCGGAGCCTCAGGGTCCGCCCCCTGGGTTCGCCTCGCGGCGCGGCCCGCCTCGCGACCCGAGGCGCGCGGCCAGCAGTGGGGGGAGCACCAGCAAGGCGGCGGGGTCGGCCTCAGCACGCCCACTCTCGGCGGCTGAGCGCTTGATCCGCGCCTGCCCACCGAAGAGGCCGGCGACGCGGCGCGCGTCAGCTCCGCCGCCTGTGCTGGGGACCTCGCGTGCGGGGCCCAAGGCGCGCCCTCGCCCTCCTGCGCCGAGGCCGCCTGCCCCGCCTGCAGCGCGGGCTTCCCTTCCGCCGCCTCCGCCTCCTCCGGCACGAGCTGGCCCCGCGGTGACGGTGTCCCCCGAGGTTCGTGCCCGAGCCCGCGGCTCTCGCCCGGAGCGGTCACGCTCCCGAGGCGGCGACCGCGCGGGACCACCGCCTCCGCCGACGCAGCAGGCTTCGCCCTTCCCGCTGCCTGAGCGCGCGGCTCGGGCTCCCCTCGCCACAATGGGGAGTCGCTTTCGCGCGGATGCGCGCGCTGGCGTAACCGACCCTGGCCGCCGCGCGCGCAACGTCGCGACAGCCGCCCGCGCGCTCGAGGCAGCTATGGATGCTGCTGAAGCAAACCCCGACGACGATCATCTGCGTGCCGTCGTCATAACCGCACACTCGCGATGGTGCTACCGGCGCTCCCTCGCCCAGGGCGCTGCGGCTACTTATGCCGCCACGGCTGACCCGCGGCTTTCGCTGGACAGCGAGTCAGGAGCCTTCCCTGGTCTCGCGACGTCCCTGGCAGCCGCTACCAGCGGCGGCTCATCGGCTGGCGAGGCGGGTTCCAGCAGGGCCGTTACGACCTTGCAGGGTTCCCGTCCAGCCGCCGATGCTGCGCCAGCACGCCCGGCCCCTGCGACGCCGCCCGCTTCGGACGCGGCCTCCGACGCCCCGCCTGACGCGGTCGCCGCTGCTTCGCCCGCAGCTGGGCGCCCGCGCCCTCGCCGCAAGAGGCGTCGTGCGGCCCGAGCGGCCGCCCCCCAGGCACCCTCGGCCCGTTCGCGCTCCCCTGCGCAGCCAGCTGCTACTCTGCACTCGCCCGCGGCCGCGGCACATGCTCAGCGTCATCGGGATCGCGGCTTCTCTTCGCCCGACCCGCCTGACCCGCCCCTGCCGGCTGGCGCGGCAGGCGCCCTCGGCTGGCGTGTCGAGATGGGGGGCGAACCCGTGGTGGTGGTCGACTACCCGTCGGACGACCCTGCCATGGCTGAGCTGTGCCAGAACACAGTTCGGTGGCTGCAGCACTTCTGCCCGGATGGGCTCAGTGAGCCCAAGAGCGACGACGCGGTGGCCTGCTTGCACAAGGGCCTGCTGACCTATGGCCGCCTATTCGGCCCGGAGGGTCTCGCGCCCGTCGCTGAGCCGAACTGGCTCACGCTGATCTCCGGGGCCGTCGGCGCGAGCACTGTCCCAGCGAAGTTTCGGGCCGCGGCTTCCGGTGCGGTGCGCGGCATCGGCCTCGGGGCGAACGTGCGCCGTCGCCGCCAGGCTGCTGCCCTAGCCTGCTTTTTTGACCTGCTAGGTCACGCCACCGCGGATGGTTTCGCCCCGCCTCCCGAGTTTTGGAGCAGCGACGGGGGCGCGCCACCGCATTGGCGAGCTGGGCTCAACGCTATCTCCAGCGCCCCACATCCCTTGGGATGGACGCCTGCGCGGCAGCGCTCTAGCGTAGCTCCCAGCATCACGTGGGCGACGGCCTGTGAGACAGGAGTGTACGCGTGGCCGACGCTTCTGTCCTCGCAGATTGAGGCAGAGGCCCGCCGCGTGGTGCGCGAGACAGGAATGGACTACACCGAGGTCCGCGCTGGTCTCGCGCGCCTTTCGGGCGTCGAACGACCTATCGTCGCCAACCGCCTGCCGCCGTTCTACCGCTCGCGCCGCGAGCGTAGCGCAGTGCTGGGCTCGGAAGGGCGCCTCAGCGGCCCGCTCGCACGCGCCGCTGTCCTTTGGTGCGTGCGCGGGGTCTGCGCGCGCGCCGTGGACGCTGCCCCAGAGGCGGCTGCGGCTGGGAGCCTGGGGCTTAGCGTCCCTGTTCGCGGACCGCGATCGCCGTTCGTTCGCGACGCCCATCTTACTCCCGCTTATGTGGAGCGCCGATCGAGGTCGCTTGACGCGTTCGAGTTGTGGCTCGAAGAGCACACTGGGGTTCCTCCCCAGACGCTGTACCGCAGCGGCATCCTCTTGGCTAGATTCCTTGCCACCTTTGGTGTGTGGCTTCACGATGCGGGTTTCCCGCGCTACATCCTAGTCCATGCGATCTTGGCCAACCACCCCCACTGGAAAGCCTTCCTGACGGAGGCGTGGGACGTTGCCAAGCAGTGGAAGCTCGCCGAGCCTCCGCGCCTCCGCCCGCCGCTCCCTAGGGCGCTTCTGCGGGCCATGGTCGGGGTGTGCTTAGCGTGGGGCTGGCCGGAGATGGCCGCTTTGCTGCTCATGGGTTTTACTATGTTTCTGCCCCCTGGGGAGGTCCTCAATGCTCGGCGCTGCGACCTGTCGCTTCCGTGCGACAGGCTGGAAGCCGACGGTGATGCGTTCTTGTCGATCCCCGCTCCGAAGACTCGTCGGACCTATCCGACCCAGCACGCCCGTTGCTCGGACAGAGCAACGGTGAAGATAATGGAGCTGGTGTTTCGGCATTTGGGACCCACCGATCCGCCCTCTACCTTTGGCCAGAGCGGCTTCCGCACTCGGTCGAACCATCTTCTAAGTGCGTTAGGCGCCCCGCCGGCAAAAGCCCCCGCGGGGTTCAACATGGCCCCCGCGCGCCTTCGAGGCTCAGGCGCTACAGATGTCTATATTGCCACCGAAGACGCCCCTCGCGTCTTCTGGCGCGGCCGCCGGAGGCAGGCCTCCAGCGCCGAACGATATCTGCAGGCCGCCGCCGCCCCCACTGCCCTTGCCTCCCTCCCTGCTCCAGCACGGGAACAGGTTGAGTATTTCGCTAGTGTTAGCGACTACTTGGTCGCACGATCTCTGTCGGCGGGCCCATCCGCCTGGCCCTTCGTTCTCGCGGCCGCCCGCTCTAGACTTGTCACTTCGCAGGGGCTTCGAGCATGGGCATGGCTGCCACGACCCGCGGGTCGTCCGGGAGCCGCCCCTGGGAGTCGCCTCCTGAGAGCGCTGCTTGGGGCAGGCGCGCGTCGGGGCTCTCTCCTTTAGCCTCGCGCGCGCGGCCCCGCGCGCGGCCCCGAGACGACTGCTGCGCAGCGGAGCGAGCGGGGATGCCACCTCTTATCCCCGCCGCGATCGCCCCGCAGGCGTCCTGCAGCTTCTCGGCCCCCACCCACCTCTCCCCCCTTACCAAGGCTAGCCTGCGGCGCTGCTACGACCCGCGGGTCGCCCGGGAGCCGCCCATGGGGGTCGCCTCCTGAGAGCGCTGCTCGGGGCAGGCGCGCGTCGGGGCTCTCTCCTTTAGCTTCGCGCGCGCGGTCCCGCGCGCGGCCCCGAGGCGACTGCTACGCAGCGGAGCGAGCGGGGATCCTCCTCCTCCTCCTCGTCCTCCTCCTCCTATCCACCGCTGCCGAAAGTGCACCCTCGCCGCGGCCAGAGCCTCCCGGGCCCTCTCTTTCCGCGGCATTTCTGGTGACCAGACCGACCTGTGATGGCCCCGGGGCCCGAAGCCGGGCGAAAACGCCCAGCTCGAAAAAATCGCACCGCCTGGATGTCAGGATTCCACGGCGTTGCCCGGTGGAACCCGAACCCGTTTGGGCGCCCAGTGGGTTTGGTCTGGTCTCGTCTGCCCAGCATCGCTACGATCGATATTGGCACGGAAAGAGGTGTCGAAGACGGACAGCAGCTCCTAGCCATTTTGAAAAGGACTCGCGGTCGGTGTCGCCGCGGACGATGTCCGCTTGAGACAGACAGCGGCCGCTCTCGGTCTTGGACAACATGTGCTGTTGGGCGGCCTCGCACAGTCGGACCGAGGTCGTCGGTTTCATGTTCGCGTCGGGCGTGCGGGCGAAGCGAAGCTGCGTGGGCGCGCGAGAGGAATCATGGCGCCGTGGTTAGGGGTTCTGGAGCCGGTTGTCCGCCCCTTCCCCACTGGCGCGCGGTGGCTGGGGCTGTCCCGTCTGTGGCGCGTCGGTATCCTGTCGGTGTCCCGTCAGTGTTCCGTGTCCCAGAGCAGGGCGGCGCGAGCCAGTGTCCCGGAGCAGGGCGGTGAGATCGATAGTGAGATCGTTTGGGAAATCGATCGTGAAATCCGTTGTGAGATCGATAGTGAGATTTGTTGTGAGATCGATATAAATAAATGGTCAGATCGTTGGTGAGATCTACTGTGATGGACAGTGAGATCGATTGGGATATCGATTGGGAGATCGATTGTGAGACTGGTAGTGAAAACCGTTGTGAGATCGATAAAGAGTCCCAATGTGCGATCGATATTGAGTTTGATTGTCAGATCGACAGTGACATCGACTGGGAGATCGATAATGCGATCTGTTGTGAGATCGATCTTGAGATCGGTTGTGAGATCGATTGTGAGATCGATTGGGTCCCAGTGTCTCGATCGCGCCGTCCCTCATGTCTAGAGCGCGCCATGTGGGATGACAAACAGCAACACCCATCGCGACCAGCATCATCATCACGCGTCGTCGCCAACCCGAGGGCGCATCACCAGCATCGCCATAACCACCAAGATTACCATCAGTTGGTTTTTTCACTCCCCAACCTCCTTATCACCCGAAGGCTGTTCGTATAGGCATAAGATCGAGGTCGGTTCGGGGGGGGCCCTCATGTTCTTCGTGTTTGTTGGATGTTATTGTGCATCCTGGGGAAGGGTACCCTCGAATGTTCTTCAAGTTGGCCGAGGAGGGCTTCATGTTTTTGAAGGATGTTATTCTGTCCTAGGCCCGGCCGTACCCATTTTTTTGTTTTCTGTATTCCTTTCGGGTGTGCCAACGGCAGGCGGTCAACGGTCGGCCGCCGCCGTTCGACCCTTGGAGAGGGCCCGCGACCAGGGCCGAGCGTCACCCTGCGGCGGAGAGCCGCGCGGCCGCGGCGGGCCGCTGGGACGGCGCGGTGGGGCGCCGCCTTCTGGAGGCCACCTTCGGGCTCCCATCGTAGCAGTTTTCCTGGATTCCCAGGGTTCCCCTGCGGTTCAGCACGGGTTTGTCCGCTTGTCCCGTGCCCGCTCACGGAAATCTGGGGGCTTTTTTCGCGGCCACGGCTATCGAGAAAACGCAGTCACAGATCAAGGTAAGTGAGTCGGCGACGGGCCCCGTTTCCGAGCGGAGTGGCCTCGCTTCGTCGCCAGGTCAGGCGGCGCGCGGCATTGGCCTCGTGTGCCGGGGGCACCCTCCCCGATCCGTGGACCTGGCGCCCGCGCGCGAGATCCACGGCTCCGTAGTCCGTGTGAGCGTCCGCCCAGGGCTTGACGCGCTGAGGCAATTCTCGTCGACGTGGAAAGACAGCGGACGCTGGTTCTCCATGTTCGTCCTCGGGGAGTCCCCATCGGACCCCGAGAGCGCAACAAGAACGAATCGGGACAGCGAAGACCAGGTGTTCGAGGCGGTATCAAGACTTCGGGGAGTCTGCGTAGTGGAAACATCGCAGCGATGGGGTTTTGGGGACGCAGCTCGAACATTTGGCCAGATGCTCAGGACCAGTTTGGAGCGGGTTTGGTCAGACTAGGGGCTCGTGGGGTGTGGCGCAAGACAGGTGGTTCCTGACAGAGATTGGTTTTGATGTTTGTTTGGCTGCCTTTGGGTTCTGGGTTCTTTCCTTGGGCCCCCAGGATAGTCAAGAATGGCTCGGGGTTAAGCGCCCCGGGGAAAACACCAGGGTCCAGGACCCCATTCCCTCAGGATCCCCTTCCGTCATTCAGGGGCAAGGTCAGCGGGGGGATGAGCTCAGAAAAAAGGGGACGCATCGTCCCCCAATCGCCCATTGATCGCCGATAGGGGCCTGATTGCCAAACCCGCCCAGGAAAGTGTGGATTCGCTATCGGGGGGCTGGCGCCGATCTATCGGCTACGCATCGCCAATTCAAAGCTCGATGTCCCCCACCCCCACGAGCTGGTCCCCCCCCCACGTTCCTCCTCCGTCCACCTCGGAGCTGCCTGGGGGCCTGAGGTGGCCCTGCACTGGTTCTGGCCAGCAGGAGGCGTGGAGCAGGTTCGAGGTGCTGGGTTCGAGCTGGTTCTTTGTTTTTGCTCGTTCTCCGGGTGCAGTATTGGGACCCACTGTGCAAGATGGACCCCGAAAGGGGGCCAGGAACCGATTTTGAGTGGATTTGCTTCCACACCCCCTCTTGGCACAGTCTCTCGGGGCCCAACCAGCTCAGACCCCCTGGCCGCCTCCAAACTCGACCCTCGACCCTCCTCCCCCCTTCGCCTCCTTGGCCTGGTGCACCCCAGGGCTCCCCAGACGCTCCGCCGTCGCTGGGCGGCGTGTTCCCAGGCGCGCCCGAGCCCCCCCGCCGCGGCAGCGCGCGGCGCTGAGGCTGGCGGGGTCGGTGTGGCGCCGCCGCGCGGGCGGAGGCCTGCAGGGATGGGCGTGGGCCTTCGGTAGCAAGTCGAGAGTACTAAAGATCCCGGGGTATGAAAAAAAACCCTCGAGTTGTTTAATATTGTCGAGGGTTTATGAAATATTGTGTCTTTTATGCCCGTTGCTTTTCGTAACCGAGGGAAGCAATTAAGAACCCCCTCCAGTAAAACGACAACGCACCAAGCACCCTGAAACGTTATCTTGGCATCCTGAGAAGATGGAGGAGGAGGGAGAGAAAGAGGACAGGGAGGAGGAGTGACTACTACTACTACTACTACTACTACTACTACTACTACTACTACTACTACTACTACTACTACTTCTACTTCTACTTCTACGACTACTACTGCTACTGCTACTGCTACTGCTACTGCTACTGCTACTACTACTACTACTACTACTACTACTACTACTACTACTACTACTACTCGTACGACTACTACTACTACTACTACTACTACTACTACTACTACTACTACTACTACTACTACTACTACTACTACTACTACTACCACTACTACCACTACTAGTATTACTGCTACGACTATTATTCTAGTACGACTTCGACTAGCACTACTCGTTCGACTACCACTACGAGTAGCAGTACAAGTATGTCTACTGCTACACAACGATGGCTAGCAATATTACGATCATCGCCGCTATTATTACTACTACTTCTACTACTACTACTACAACCACTACTAGTATCTCTACTGCTACTACTACTTCTATTGCGAAGGCCTTACGGCCGGTGCCGCCGACCCTGTTCGCAATGCGCAGCAAGAGGCACGGGCTGTGGGATGGTTTTGGGGAACGGGGAGAAGGACGAGAAGGTGGGGGAGGGAGGTGTCGTATCTGACCCGGGACTTCCCCGGGACTCCCCTGGGACCCCCCCCGGGACCCCCCTCCCCCCCCGTCGGGGAAGGGAAAGGGAAGGGGCTTCCCTTCGACTCAATTACGACGTTGCTCAAGGTCGGTACGGGGGGGGGCGTCGTATCTGACCCGGGGGGGGGGTCGCTACCGCCCCCCGCTACCCCCCCCTCGCCTCCCGGCGGGGGAGGGATCAAAGGGAAGGGCGTCCCTTCGACTGAATTACGACGTTGCTCAAGGTCGGTACGGGGGGGGGCGTCGTATCTGACCCGGTGGGGGGGGTCGCTACCCCCCCCCTCCCCCTCCAGGCGGGGGGGGAAAGGGAAAACTCCCTTCGACTGAATTACGACGTTGCTCAGGTCGGTCGGGAGGTGGCGTCGTAATCTGACCCGGGAGGTGTGATCGCTAAACCCCCCCCTCCTCCTCCCTGGCGGGGGAGGGAAAGGGAAGGGGCTTCCCTTCGACTGAATTACGACGTTGCTCAAGGTCGGTACGGGGGGGGGGCGTCGTATCTGACCCGGGGGGGGGTCGATACCCCCCCCCCCTCCCGGCGGGGGAGGGAAAGGGAAGGGGCTTCCCTTCGACTGAATTACGACGTTGCTCAAGGTCGGTACGGGGGGGGGCGTCGTATCTGACCCGGGGGGGAGGTCGATACCCCCCCCCCCCTCCCGACGGGGGAGGGAAAGGGAAGGGGCTTCCCGTCGACTCAATTACGAGGTTGCTTAACAAGGTTGGTACGGGGGGGGGGAGTAGTACTTGAAACGGGGGGTGGGTGGGGTACGATACCCCCACCCATACCCGGCGGGGGAGGGATCAAAGGGAAGGGGCTTCCCTTCGACTGAATTACGACGTTGCTCAAGGTCGGTACGGGGGGGGGGCGTCGTATCTGACCCGGGGGGGGGTCGATACCCCCCCCCCCTCCCGGCGGGGGAGGGAAAGGGAAGGGGCTTCCCTTCGACTGAATTACGACGTTGCTCAAGGTCGGTACGGGGGGGGGGCGTCGTATCTGACCCGGGGGGGAGGTCGATACCCCCCCCCCCCTCCCGACGGGGGAGGGAAAGGGAAGGGGCTTCCCGTCGACTCAATTACGAGGTTGCTCAAGGTCGGCTTGGCTGGAGCCCAGGGGAAGAGGTCTCCCAGGGAAAGGGAAGGACAGAGACGACGAGTACAAAGAATGACGGAGATGACGGCTCGAACGGAAAAGCCCCTCACACACGCCGACAGGGTCGGCGGATTTGACACGGATCGTGCCCCCCAGCACGCGCACAAAGGCGCCCGACTGATGCCGACATGCGGCGCGAAAGGCCCCTTCGGCAGAATTTCATGCGAATGGTGCGAACGTTCTCATTGTCTTAACAATTCGCAAAGGCGCGGGCGCATTTGTGTGGAATTTCGTGTTGCGAACCCAGGTTGTGATTGTATCTTGTCGAGGCATTCGATTGTAAAATAATCCCTACGACATGTGATATGTTTGAAGAATTTCCGGCATGCGCGCGCGACGACGCGCGCGTGTGCACTTCGTCCAGATTGTTCTTGTTTGTTGCAATGGTGCCTTAAGCATTGATGAATTGTTATAAGCGAGTGCGCGTAAAGTATTATGCTGCACGGGATGAGCGCGAGCGATATCGGCCTGGCTTGGTTGGTATGATACGTTTCCAGGAGGCAATACGCAAAAGGTGACTCTGGAAGTCCAGGCAGGGTGGGAAGTATATCCTCATATTGTATTCGAAAAACTCAGAAAGGGGCAACATATATGGTGCAAAGGCTGCAAAGCCATACAAAACAACGCAAATCAACACAACAACATTCAAAGCAATGCGAACCAATGAAAAGCAATGCGAAACCATACAGCGCAATGCTACGCAGCGCAACGCAATACAAAGCAATGCAAAGCAGCGCAACGCAATTCCAAGCAATACAAACCAATGCACAATCACGCTCATCACTACAACGCACTGCAGAGCATTGCGAAGAAATGCAGAGCAATGGAAATCAATACAATTTCACGTAGCTAGATGCAAATCAACGCAGAGCAATGCAAAACAATGAAACGCAAACCAATGCAAATCATGTCACGCCAATGCTGAAAAATTCAACGCAATGCAAAGCAATGCAAATACATGCAAATCAACGCAACGCAATGCAATGCAATCCGACGCAATGAGACGCAATGAGCAGCAATATAACATATAACGTAAGGCGAATCAATGCAGAGCAACGCAAAGCAACGCAGCACAATGCAACGCAATGCAAATCAATACAAAGCAATGCGACGCGATGGACAACTATGCTACACAATGCGAAGCAACGCAACGCAACGCAAAGTAACGCGACTCAGCGCAACGCAATGTAAAGCAACGCGAAGCAGTTCAGAGCAGCGAGATGCAATGCAACTGCAACGCAGCGTGCTTCCAATGCAACGAAAGGGGGGTGGGTCCACGGGGTGGCGGCGACGGACGGAAAAGGGGGCCGCCGGGCCCACGAGCGGGTCTTCCGTTTGGCAAAACGGTGCGGCGATTGCCGGGAGCGGCGCCGCCCTGGCCGCGAACGGGCCGGGGCTCCGTAGAAAGTAAGCAAGAACCCCTAAGTGAGTGCAAGTACTGATTAGGGAACGCGGAGAGAGAGAGAGAGAGAGAGAGAGAGAGAGAGGCCCCGCGAACAACCCATATCCGAGGCTGGAATTTATACATGACCACCGCCTGGAGGCTGGAGGGTCAGTTTTCGGAGCCTCGGCAGGCGGTGGATATGAACATATTCTGGCCCCCGGGGGCCGAAATATATCCATATCCACCGCCCGCGAGGGCACCAGGACGTCGGTTCCCAGGCGGTGGTTATGGATAAATCCCCGCCTCGTACCATATCTCTGCTTACTGGAAGTTGTTGACACGAGCTTGTGCGACCAGCTTTTGTTCTGTGCGCGTGTGTGTGTGTGTGTGCTTGTGTGTCTGTGTGCCCGTACAGAAGGCAAGTCAGATAAGAAACTGGCTTGCCAGCAGGTGCCTCACGGAAGTTTCCTATCCCAAGGTGGTTTTCGGGGCCTACAGAAGCTCTTCTGGGGCACCTTAGGACCTTGAAATATCGACGAATCGTTTGCGCCGAGATTTCTGACAGCAAGATTTCATATCGTATGTGTCTACTGTAGCCCTGTGGCTCGCGGGTCACAGTTCGATCGGGGAGCGCTTGTTGCGTGCCATGGCCACCGGGCCGAGGCCGCTGCTGCTCGGCGACGTGTTCCCCGACTTCGCGTGTCGGACCACCCATGCCGGAGAAGGGAAATCGGTATCAGCATAAGCTTTCGGAGGTCCACGCGTACTT